GAAGAAAGTGTCCACAGTCCAGAATAAGGAGGTGTCCACATTCAAGACGTTCATTTCCAGCAAGAATAGCTCGGGCGGACCAGAAGGTGTCCATTATACGGAGGTGTCCACTTTAGAGAGGTGTCCACATAAGGAGGTTTCACTGTAATTTTGACATCTTTTTTTCAAAAATATCTTAGAAAATCGTACACTTTTAATATTATTAATAGATAAATTCATGGGTACCCAACCAGTTTTTGAGAAAAGTTTCTTTTATCAAGTTTTTTATGCTCGTTATGAGTACGATAAATAGAAAATTGATTTCACTGAAAAAAATTTATAAGTAAATACTGAAGATCTATAGGTCGTTTTCTAGGAACATCTAACGAAGACAAAGATCATCGAAGTTATTATAATGCTTAAATCTCTTAATTTGCCCAGAAGTGGGAAGCTCTTAGAGTAGCATAAGCAGCAAAGGATTCTATTTTTTTCTTTGAATGTATCATGTTCGGAATGAGATTTTTAAAGACAGTGAATTTTACGTATTTCCTGAAAAAACGATTTTAATCGAAATTATCCAACAGCTGTGCTTCTCGGAGTCTATGGGTTTTTTTATTTCAAATTGAATTTTGAATAAAAATTCACACCCCTTTTTTACCAAGGCAGAGGAACTAAGGGGACTAAGATGACTAAGCGAACTAAGTGGACTTACTAAGCGGACTAAGGGGACAAAGGGGACTAAGCGAACTAAGTGGACTAACTAAGCGGACTAAGGGGACAAAGGGGACAAAGGGGACTAAAGGGACTAAGGGGACTAAGGGGACTAAGATGACTAAGCGGACTAACTAAGGGGACTAAGGGGATGCTTGCAGCATCCCCTATGATGCTACAAGAATCTCCTAGGACACTACTAGTTTTGGCTCAGATGCTGCAGACATTATCTGGGATGCTACAAGAAGGATGTGAGAAGTTTGAGCTAATGTGCAGCACTGAGTAGGAATAATGGTGTACACAGAGACGTGCATGGATCGCGGCTCTTCGGGGGGCGCTTCGCGCCCTCACGCCGCGTCGCTGAAATAAAAGGTGTGTTAGGCGGGAAAACGTGCTTCCCCACTGAATTTAGTCCCCTTAGTCCCCTTAGTTAGTCCGCTTAGTCCGCTTAGTCACCTTAGTCCCCTTAGTCTCCTATTTCAATTTGAAATCAAGTGCTCTTTTTTCTGTTTAAATTAAGATTGAAATTAAATAACCCATTGTATGCAAATCTGTCTCTATATGTAACTAGCACAAAAAACTGGATAATTTTTTTTTTCTAAAATTGGTTGGAATACCCATGGATTAACTCTAACACTTATTCCAGCATCATATTTAGATACTCGTATTTTTTTTAATCACAAAAAGAAACATGTTTTTATTCAATGATACAAAAGAAAAATTAATTCAAAAATTAAAAGAAAAAATGACTCACTTTTATCTTTTTTTTGCTTATTAAAGTTAATTAAACATGTTAAAACTCGTTTAATCAACGATAATGTTACTCTAATGGTCACACAATTGCAATCAAATTCTTCTTTATCATTCGACATATATTGTTTATCATGATTTCCTGTATCAATTTTTGATAAATGTGTAAAATCTGTTTCTAAAGATAATAAATTTTTAGTTGAATATCCATCACGTCGTAAAACCTTTCCAAGTTCTTCCATTAGTTTAGGAAATGAATTTGGTCTTGATAATTTATCTATAATTAATTGCATCAATAATTCATGTCGTGTATCGCCATATAATAATAATGACCATTGTTCAGGTGTTGTATAAAAACCTTTAACATATAAAAATATTTATTAAATATAACTTGAACAAAAAAAAACAGAAATTATTTACCAGATATCATAGCTATTTGAATAATTTTTGAATCATAAACACCACGAAGACTTTCATAATTTCTAAAATTTGATTTAAGTTGTATTAATGAAGAGTTGTCATCTTTTATTATCTAATATAAAAAGAAAAACTTCTGATAGAATCATTTCTTTTTTCTTTTTGGTATTGTTATATAATTACTTGAAAACAAGGTAAAATGCACAAACCAACGATACTTTCAACACTTCGTATCATGTTTTCACCTATTTCTTGTAGCACAGAACCGAAAATATCATCATAGGATAATGCTGAACGGTCTTCAAAAAATAATAAAATTGATTTCAATACTTTTTCTTGCATAGCGAAATTAATAAACAACGATTAAGATAAGAAATATAATTTGGAAAAAAATCAAACCTGGTGTAATGACAAACTGGATTGAGCAGCTTACCACCACGCTCGGTAATGATGTTTATTCAGCTACACTGAAAAAAAAAAGCGCAGAATAATCAACCCTTGCCCTTGATTTTCTCCTTCATAAACTCTTGAAGGGTTTATGAGGACGGCATATACCCTTGAAGGGTACATGACCCGAAGGGTTTTTGAGCAGAAGGGTATTTGAATAGACGAAGGGTATATGGAGCTCTTTTAAGGGTTTTTTATTTCATATTTTAAATCAAGGGATTTATCAATAAACGACCATGGGTAGATTAATAAACTTATTTATCACAAACGTTTCTAATTCAGCAATGAAGGGTAGATTATTACTCGATTGAAAGAAACCGTTTCTTAGTATACGGCTAAGGGTAGATGATTCTACGCTTCAGAAGAAGTGTTGATTATAATACGTTAAAGGGTTGATCACTGCACGATATCGCTATAAGGTATATTATTCGACGATCTATGGTACATCATTCTACCCATTCGGAAGAAGCATATATTATAATGCGGCAAAGGGTATATTATTACACGATGGAATACAATATGGTAGATTATTCTACGGATAAGGGTTGACCATACTACTCTTCCACAAAAATGGTTTATTATAATGCGGTTGAGGGTAGATTACTATTGGATGTTATCCAAAAGGGTAGATTAATATATGCCTAAGGGTAGATTGTTGTATGGCTTCGTAAGAAGCATTGATTATAATACGGTAGAAGGTAGATTACTATACGAAGTCGCCCCTATGGGTATATTAGTCTACGAATCAGGATTGATTATACTACGCTTGCAGAAAAGGGTTTATTGTAATACGGTAGA